TATTCTTGAAGACAAGTAAACTCCAATGAAGCAATCCCAGGGACGAGAACCCTGCAGGTGTTAAGAAATCAAAGCCCTCAAAATAGATCTTGTCCATCTTGAAGGCTGGAATGCCACGGAGTTTCACAGCAGCTGTGACATTGGCAGCACCCGCGAAGAGCTCACCAAACTTGTATGCCTCCAGCAGGGTTGCATGTACATACATTTATTAGTTTTATTTCTGCATATTTCTGTGTATAGTATGTATAATATATATATATATATATATGTGTATGCATACAAATGTGTGTGTGCATATGATATCGACACAAATGAATATCACACATGCATATTTTTCCTTCACTACACCCCAAACAACCGTGCACGTTGCAGCACTCAGCAGGTGAACAGAACGGCTCACTCGGCTAGACCACAAATAAGCCGGGTGTGGAGCAAGCAGGGTTGCCGAACTGCTCAGACCACAAAGATACAAGCCATCTGCCAACCAAGCAGGCACTTGCAGAACAGCTCATTCAGCTGGGGACACTCATACAGAATCTTCATCCATGTCTGGCACCAGGAATTTTAATTTTATAGTTTAGGGTTGCAGAACAGCTGATTCAGCTGGAGACACCCGAATCTTCATCCATCTGCATTGCGGAGCAAGCAGGTAGGCCACATAGGCACTGCAGGTCTTAAGTCCTAAACCCTAAACCGTGGATGTACGTTTATTTTCTCATGAACATCTTCCTATATATACTCTGCTGTGCTCAACATGTGCATATGCTCGGACTGAAATGACAATCCCTAGACAGGCAAGCTAGGATAAATCCACGATTTCAGTCCAGGACCCAGGTCTTGTCCAAGTCCAGGTTGTAGACCAGGAGGAGGATGGCAACACAGAGAACCTGTGACTTCTCCGAATACATGTTGACTGGAGAGGATGTTCATGATGAGAGACACTAATTGCAGCCAGCAAGCATATGGAATGTTGCCAGCATATAGCTTTCGCACCAACACATCCAGGGACCATTGTGCCATGATGCTTGAAGCTATGAACTCCCGGGAAAGCAAAAAAGAAGGCAGGCTTCACCTGCAGTTTCTATGAACAAAGTCGTCATGAAGCCTGGGCAACCTTATGAAATGACATACCTCCAACTGAAGCATAGATGACGACATGCTACATGAACTGCATATGCACAGACCCACATCCAGCATGATTGCAGAGCCTGTCATCTCTCGAAGATGCAAGATCCAGGCAGTACGAGGCAGACATGCATGCACAAATAAGAATATATATTGCTACATATGTAGTTTTACAAAAACCCAAATATACATATATAGATATCTATATCTATATATCTATATCTATATATATATATATATATAATGTACTTTCGATACCTCTTTATACATACATATCTATATATATATGTATATATATATGTATACACAACCAGAGATATATATATATATATGTATATATGCCATCCAGCATGTATGTGCATGTATGCAAGAGCAGAGACAGACCCACATGCCCATACTATATCTATATATATATATATACTTAGCACAAACATCAAAGAAAGAATGCATGAAGCCGACCCTTCCCCAGCGCACTGCCAGCTCCATCATCAGGCTTGCGCTTGGAACCTGGCCAGCCGAAGTGCACTTGTTTCTTCAAACTCGAGCAGAGCTACATATCAAGCATCGATGACATATCTATTTCATGATCCTTGTCACGACATCTATAGAACTTAGAAATGCTTTTCCACTCTGTCCCGTGTCTATAGAAACCATACATATATATATATATATATATACTTACCATGAACCGACAGAACACTTAGAACACCCATAGTAGCTGCACTTATCACTCCGTCCCAGCACACAGAAATGTCTACACATACCTAGACAATCACAGCACATCTAAATAATATGTATATATATATATATATGTATGAGACGTATGTGTAATGCTTTGTGTGCACATGTGAATCATACTGAACTACCAATACTAAAGCCCGAAATGAAAAGACATACCAAGTGCATGCATGGAGCCTATAGAACAGCAACAATTCTATAGTTATCACACATGCACCAACAGATACATATTTGTCCAACCCTCCCCCGAATGTAAAGACATGGCGAGCCTTGTAGTATGGCATTCTTCCGGGCATCATCTCCTGTAGCAGCACGACAGATATATGCAGTAACACAGTATTTCTCTTGCCCCCCGAGCTGTATGACAATCGAGCACCCCAGCTGCAAGTTGCAAAGTTTCCCACCTGTATCCGAGAAGGAAGCTAGCTTCAGCAGCCGCTTGTTGCCAGGCATTGGTTGAGACCTCACCACACCACTCAACTCAAACATGTGAGTTGCACTGACTCTTGTCGATGGGCTGAATGCACATGAACTGAAGCTTGAGAAATGCTCATACAAACAGCTCTTTCTTTCGAAGCACACATGAAGCTCTGCGAAGTCATATGGAGGGCCCCAGCTGGCATGTAAGGTTTGCAAGCTATGCACACCACAGTACCCTCCAGTCAGTCGTAAAACCACTGGCACAAAAGCAGGCAAGGTCTACAGGCTGGCCTGGTCTTGCCTCCCCTGTTGGGTGTAGCCACAACCGCACTATCCCTACAGAATGCCATTCCTCCATCTGAAGGTCCAGGCATGTCCAGTCTCCATCTGCTTTGAAAGACCACTTTTCACACTTCACTTGAAGTCTCGTGGACCTGGACCATGCTCCGGCCTCCATGTGAAAACAGGCTCGCATGAGCTTAGCTCACGGCCAAACTTCTCCGTACTGCTCCTCAAGCTCTGAACGGAAGTTCCGGATGGTATCGGTCATTTCCTCACCATGGATGGTCATATCGCGATCCAACAGGGAGACCTGAGCAGCTCACAATACACACATGATTTGGATTACCCATCCTTCAGACCAGCATCTCACTACATATAGAATCTGGACCAGGGCACAATCTCGTTGGCCACGAGGACGCCGACCTTCAAGTTTTTGAAGGACATGCTCCAGACCTGTGGGCCGTTCTTCTGGCGGACTCCAACCACACTCCTGGTCCAATACAGCTCCAGCTTGTAATTCCGCCCATGCTTCACCAACCTGCAACTTTGTGACACACAAACTGTCAGCACCTGGATCAGCACAGTTCTATTGCTTTGCATGTATGTGCATGGTTGTGTGTATATATATATATATGAGTACATGTATTTATACACATGTACACTATACGACTGCATATGTATATACCTTGTTGGATACATTATATATCTATATATATATATACATAGAGCATATCAGAAGAGATGCATGTGCGAAAGCTACATGTCGGAGTAGACATGTATGTGTATAAATTTATATGAACATATACATACACACATTTCTGTCACTATATATCGGTAGGTATATCTACATATAGATATATAGATGCAGAGATCACATCACATTGGCCAGCGACGACTCAGCCACCCCCCCCTGCATACATGACACACTGCAAAGAAGCAGCTGAAACACCTCAGTCCACATGATTGATGTCGAGCAAAGGGACAAGGCTTTATATATAGACAGACATAAAAGGTGTAGGACATGTGTACATGTTTCTACCCAGAGCAGAAATCCCATGCATGAATTTGGTGATAGTTGAGGGTTGAACGACCGATCACACAACTATCTGAATTAAACTCTTGTTTGTTTGAATGCTAGGCTGCATGAACGAACGGCATTGAATGTCAATAAATTCCTGAATGTCTGCATGAATGATTGCATGCAGGGATGGGCCAATGCAGAAATGTGTCTATGTGTTCGTGCATGCACGTGTGTATGTCCGTTCATGCCAATATGTATACGAATGTCTACATACATGGACAGAAAATCATATCTGCATGTATACATTTGTGCACATGTTTATGCACACATTTCTATGTATATATATGTATATATATATATATATCTATATATATATATATGCATGGACTTGTATGCTTGTATATCTGTGTGTTTATATCACACATAGACACATGTTATATGCATATTATACATACACTCCTCAATGTATATATAGCTTCAAGTTGCCAGGTCAATGGCTTCAGTCCCCCCCCATGCAGCGATACCACATGTATACATATATATATATACATGTGTGTATATATATATATATGTATATGCGTCAACATGTTGTGTTTCAACTGCTCTATATTGCATAGATCATGGATTGAATGTGTGTATATATATATATAGATATTATATTATACATGCTCACATGCTAGAAAAGTAATATACTGGTGTTGCAATGATATACTCTGCACTTCTGTATTCTCCATGGTATTTTATGATACATAAACAGGTAAATGTAGATTTATATATAGTATATATATATATATATATATGTACTATAGTGCAGCAGACGGAAAATGCACATCAGGTTAGCAGCTTGCACAACACTAAAAGCAGACAAGCAGCTCCTTGCAAATCTTCCGATTCTCATCGGAAAGGCCTTTTGCAGAACGTCCCCGGCCACGACCACGGCCGCGGCCGCGACCGCGGCCAGGAGGTGGCACGACCTCCTCCTCCGGCTCATCCTCACCTTCCTTGGCCACCTCCTGCTGAGGCTGCATGCCCTCTTGAGGCGATGGCTCAGGCTCTCTGGGCTCCATGGTCTCATCTGCATCGGGCTCGTCGGGCTCTGCATCAGCCGATGGCTCAGCAGCTCTGCTGGAATCCTCATCATCATTGGGCAGAGCTGCCTTTCGACCCCTGCCTCTGCCCTTGCCCTTGCCACGGCCGCGGGAGCGACCGCGACCACCAGCACCACGAGCACGATTGGCCTCCTGCTTCTGCTGGCGCAAGTCAACCTGCTGCTGGTGGACGAATGGCTCAGCATCCACCTGCAGCAAATCTTCCCCATCACTTCCATGGACCGATGGCTCTGGCGCCAAAGCCTCCAGTGGCATGGGACCACAAACCCCGGAACTGGCCTCAGGCTCCTCTGCACTCTCCATCTCCGGCTCGGGCTCCTCCGCAATCATTGGCTCATCCTCAAGCAAGGTCTCCATGCATGGGCCATGCATCGATGACGATGCCTCTTCGACACGAGCCATCGGAGCAGCATGGTTCATCACATCTTGCTCCTCTGCATACACAGCATCAAAGTCCATCGCCAAAGATCGGTGGATGCCGGAGGATGGCCCAGACTCCTGATTGTTCCCCTCATTCCATGCGGTGGCCTTGCTAACCATGTCCTCATCATAGAACCGGGTCGCATCCACTTGCGTGAGGTCCAGATCATCACTCTCAGATCCACCCCTCAGGACAAGCAAATGAAAGGCAGTACACATGTAGTAGAGGATATATATATATATATGAATGTGTATATATATATATACTGATATTTAAATTTGTCGGATGTAACACACAATATATGTACTATACAGATATATGTATGTATATGTATAGGGTACAATATATTTCATGTGTGTGTATTCATTTTAATGTTGATATGGATGCAGTTACAACGATATGACTTTTACAAACAGATAAAGCTATGTGATGAATGTATGCGTATGTATAGATTTGTGATTTGATCAATATCCTGATTTGATGTCCACCAATATACATATATATATATATATTTATATTTATACATATGTACTTATATTGGCTGATATACAGAAGCAGACTCATCTTTATAACCTGGTGTGCTACATATTCGCATATCTATATATATATATATATATACATATAGTCCAGGTAGTACAGATAGATGGGGCGAGAAAAGAGTAACAAGCGAAATGCCACATGTGCTGCACACACTCAGCCTCACATGTATCAACCATGCAGCACACATGAGAATTCTCAAGCCATGTTTCAATAGACCAGAAAGCGGTCCCTTATAAGTTAATATATCTAATTGTGAAGAACTCTATAAGAACCTGTTCCGAAGAATTATGTATATATATATATATGTATATATATATATATGCAAGGTATCATTGGATGTAGACTCCGATCAGCACATTGAGCCACATTTGATTTCCCAGTGTGACACTTAACCAAAGCTAGCGCACAGGAGAAATATACAAAACACTTACACACATAAGCATGCTGACTTGAACATCAAGTTTATGCTCATCGCAGAAGCAGCACCCATATATGACAACACCATGCACATACCAGTACACATGTATATGCTACACCGCATCCCCCCAATGATCTAACTCGGTATCGATCTTGTCTACCAGCCCCTTATATCTGGACTCACTGTTGCTACCAAGTCACATGATAGCAATATGATTCGAGCACTTGTATGCGCAAATACCAATCTGCAAATCTCTCCAGTAAATAGGCATGGTCATGAAAGAGACAGGGTGCATTTAAGTGAAGCTTCATGCTCTATATACCATTGCAATATGAAGATGCTTGCTGAAGGCAAGGGTCGGCTTGCCGTGCTCCGGCGTGTCCTCGATGCTGATCTGGCTGGGGAAGGCCTCTAGCAGCACTCGCAAATAAGGTGTTTGAGGGTAGAGCATACAAATTACACAGGAAGTGAAGCATTGCCACCTCACGGGAGGAGCCATTGAGCAACCTCTGTCTCTTCAAGCTCTCCTCAGCTATGCTCACAGCATTCGAAAAGCACTCAACCGAAATTCAATTTCCAATAATCAATGACATTGATGGCCATGGAGCACCGGCTTCAGCTGGAAGCATCGGACAGGTCTCCACATTATCCACCATGGATCCAAGCATGATCCTATGCAGCCATAAAGTCAAAAAAACCTGCATCTAGAATGAGACACCACTTTAGACTTGTAATATACACACCACTGTCCTCTCCCTTTGCGCGTGCAACTTCGCGAGAAGGTGCTGCTTGACTTCATCGACAGATGCTGGGCCTCAACATCAACAATCAGTCACAAAAGATACTATGTGCACATGCATGGTCATGCATCTATGCAGATTTACTGCCTAAGATGTTGTATGTGCTCCCAATGCAGCATGCAACTATCACCACAAAGCATATGCCTGTACTGAAGCCATTTGAAGAAAGATGATATATACACCAACCTATTCGAGATAGACTGCATGAACAAATCCATCTGCTCTCGATGCACTTCCGGGTTTGTTCATTTACGGATTATATATATATATATATGCTTTGAATAGTATATAAGTGTGTATATATATATATCTATGCATCTGTTAAGAACCATAGTAATACGATCATTCTATATATATAAACATTATATACTGCATAACTTGTGCATAGACAAGAGACACCGACATGAGGTTTTATATGTATGTCTATACAACTACAGAAACTGAGTGTGTGTATTTTATATATACATATATATATATATATATATATAATTTTCTTCTATATATATATATACTTGTTATATACAAATACCGGATGAGATAGAGAGAGAGAAAAAGAGTGAGAGAGACAGAGCAAGAGAGAGAGAGAGAGAGAGAGAGAGAGAGAGAGAGAGAGAGAGAGAGAGAGAGAGAGAGAGAGAGCGAGAGAGAGAGAGAGAGAGAGATAGAGATATGCAGCAATAGAACAACTCAGCATGTCTGCATTAACACATGTTGAAGCAACACAAGACTGAAACTGTCTGAATGCAAGCATCTGCATTGCACCAAAGTCCATGCTAAGCTCATGCACGTGACCTGCATGCACATCCTCTGCTGCATCAGGAGCTGCTTCCACACGCTCCGGAGTCTCAGGCAAGCCTGAGGAAACAGTGATCTCCCCAAAGATGGGGTCATCCAGGCCATGCCCACCACTTGCAACCGGCTCTGGCATCACCTGCATCTCGGGCTCCATCGGCATCTCTTCATGCTCAGCGGAAGATCCGGTCGCAGGCAAATAAGGGCACACCAAACCATCCAATGTCTTCCACTGGCCCACATAGGGATCGTAGTGAGCACCCTCTTGCACAGCCCCACACAGCATCAAGGCTGCACCATAGCCATAGAGCCGTGAGAGTCGATCAAACCTTTCATGGACAGTCTCCAGCTGCTCACTGCTCGAAGCCGGGGCAGGGTCACTGCTCGAAGCCGCCGGGGCAAGGACACTGCTCGAAGCCGCGGGGGCAAACGCACTGCTCGAAGCCACTGGGGCATCCAAACATCCATCCAACTCATCATCTGGCTGGGTGAAGGTGTCCGGCATCACATAGTCTTGGGCATCTTGGACAGGCGGAAATTCCACTGCCTCATCTGCCACTTCGCGATGCAGCGAATCCATCAGCGGAGGCATCTCCTTCTCAGGCTCAGCAGCCGGAGCAACTTCACCTGCATCCGCCAATGCCAAATCGCCACCCTCAGGAAAGGCCTCAGCAGACTTCCTTTTCTTCCAAAGGGCCCGAGTGCGGTTCTGCACCTCCAGCGCTTCGGGATCCATGCCGCTGCAAATCTTGATGACATAGGGCACTTCATTGGCCTCCATCTGCCGTGCCACCTCTCGAAGCCTCACCTTCAACACCCATTTATTCCACACCACAACTGCATGCATGAGAAAATCATGCAAGCCCGATGCATAAATGTCTGAATGCAGCTGTGATGCAGTAAGCCTCTGCACATCCACATCTCGCTGATTATCAGAACGATCAGCGAGTCCTTAAACTCCGAGTCCTGTCCCTCTATCTGTGCAGCCGATACATGGCATAGACTTCTCTACTTGTGACAGGCAAGTTATAACATGGCCACAAGATGATAAGAATATCTATCCACCCATCGATAAACATATACCTATCATATTTACCTGTCAACAAAGTATGTATAAATATTTCGTGTACATATATTTGTCTGTGTATATATATATATACATTTTTGAATTTAATGCTACATGTATATGTTTATTTAAGTATATGCTATATTTTCTGTATGTGTTCAGGACTATAGGAGCAGAGGAAAGTTGTGGACACATGTACATGAATGTCAAAGTTGTATACTGTTCGTGTATGTATATATATATATATGTATACGTGTATGTTCATGTTATCCTCAATACATGAGTCTATGACGAGCATCGGCGATGGCAACACACCAGTGCCTTGATGGCATGAGCATCTGGGTTGATGCAACCAGCATCGATCTTCACCTGGCAAATGTTGTACCCCAACCTTTAACCCAATATCGTAGTCTCAGTCTTTCCTATAATAACAGAGCACCTCCTTCTTCGCGACGTTGAGGTGTCTCATCTGCGTGGCGGGCGAGATAACACAGAAATAAGTAAGCACATGCAGAACTCCTACCACCAAGTATATTACCATGCTACTGACCCACCTTGATCTGCACACGAAAGGAAGACATCATGGATTCCAAGACATTGACATACAGCAGGGCATAATGCTGGAGGTTGCGGCCCACGATCGGAGCAAGAAGTGCCTTGGAAAGGCATCCCTATGTATAGGGAACAATTGGGATTCTACATTGATCGAAGATATAGGGTAGGAGCCAGGGCACTTCATTCAATTTGCAAGCCAGCGCCGTTGGGATGCGCTTCTGCCCTTTGCCATCAGCCGGCCATTGAATAAAGCACTTGTCATTCATGGCCAAGGAGGCCAACGCGGGGACCTCATCCCACTCCTGAACAGCAATGACCATTGGAAAGCATACAGCCCCTTCTGATGACACAGACTCTCGGCTCAGTGGCCTTCATCACAGCCTTCACGAGGCTGGAAAGGAGCCTCTGCGAAGGACCATCGTCCGTCTCGGCGATCGGTCCCGGCTCCATGGCACCACAGAGACAAAAAGGAACAGCTCGGAAAAACAAAACACAAGCCAGAAGCTGCCAGCAGAAGACAGGGGCATGAAAGCACAAGCTGCAAGAAGCTTCAATATTGTCCAGCAAGAGCAAGAGCTGCTTTCAACAATGCTGGGCTCCAGGCCCCCATCAGTGCCATGCTCACTCAAAGTGCTGCAGTTTTGGTGTCCCACATCTTGTATTTAATTGAATGCGATTCTGTCTTGGATATAAGCTCAGAAAATCACTGAAAAGATAGGTGATTCTGCCAAGACGAAAGTACATCTCTGGCTCTGCTTGCTCATGCATGGTTTGAGAACATGTCCGATGCTGGTCACACATCTGCAATCAAACGCCCAAGATCTCACCTGCACTTGCTCAGCTGCACTGCTAGCAAACTTGAAATGCAGACATTCATGCATGCATATGCATATATATATATATATATATGTATATGTATATGTTTATGTATATGTTTATGTATATGTA